GTCTATTAAGAGGACCAGTTGCGCCAAATGTAACTTGATTGAGTAACTCCCAGTTAGATTTTGAAAATGTCTTGCCTAAAGATTCTGCCAACAAATTTGAATTTTTCTGCAGGAAAGAAACTAGCTTTGAAAGATCTTCGGAAAGAGGCAACATCTTTCCTTTGTTCCTTTTGTTGTCTGTTAAAGTTTGCAGGGCACATGAAGAAATTTCATTTGTCCATTCCCCTTCACAAATCGTCAGAAAGTTCACAGCTTTTTCCTTCAGCAGGAGATCTCCTTGAATGAGTGCCTCTGTTCTCTGTATCTTAGCACACTTTTTGAGAAGATGGCCAATCTTCAATGCTAGGGATGGATTCAAATATTTATTTGTTTCTTCATTGAATTTACATAAATACTGAGTGGCTTTCACTGCCAATGGAAATTTCCTTGGATCAATAATGTCACATAAATGTATCACATCAGCATCATTCCTTCTAGCACTTATCAGAAATCTTCCTAACTCTCTCATTTTTTGACTTATGTGAGCAAAGAGATGTCTCTGACTACCATGTCTTTGGTATAATTTTTCTCCTAATTTTATAATAAGAGGGTCATTTCTGACCACAATTGTAATTTCATCACCAGCCATCCGACTAATAACATTCTCTTTTAGACCCTTAGAAGCTTCAATGGAGGAAGGAAGTAAAAGCCTAGCCTCTGACTGAATCTTTCGTCTTTTTTTTTTACCTTCATTAAAGTTACATGTTTGTTGGTGTCTCCATAAACTGGATCTTAGGAAAAAACCCAAGCAGTATTCACAGGGAAGATAATCTTCTGCTGATGTTTGTTCAGAATTTCTTGCCCACGTGATTATAACACCTTTACCAGTTCTTAAAACCTCAGTATTATGCTTATAGTCACCAGCATTTCTCAATTTTTCTAGTCTGTCCTTTCTCTCCTTAGATCCCACAGCACAATGTAACACCTTTTGCACTTCTGTTTCTTCTTTGTGTGGGCCAAAATAATGTTTTCTTATGTTTGTGGAACTATAATTATTACAATAAAGACAGTAATGTACCTTATCCCATTTTCTTTTCCCATTAAAGTTATTGACTGGCTGCACCTTCACACCACTGGATCTGTCATTCAAATTATCCGAAGATGTGATACTGTCCTCCTGAATAATTTGCCTCTCATTCTTTTTCACCCTTGTTGGGCCTTTTCTTTTTAAAGTCAGCTGTGGAAAAGTCTCAATGATCTCAGATGTGTCTGAATCCTGACTGTCGTCAATAAATTCTGAACATGTTAACAGAGTTTCAGTGCCAACTTTTCTTTTTTGGTCTTGATACAGATCCTCTTCAGAGTCTGTAGTAGATGTTTCAGAACAGTAATCAGGGTCATGCACTGAGTCATCATAACTTTCTGTCTCTGATAATGAAAAGCCATCTTCAACACAGAACTCTGAAAATATATTATTTGTTGCCGTCTTTAGTAGGGCATAATGTCATATAATATGGTGGCATTCAGACTTATGCATATGCCGTCCCTATTATTTTCGGCGTATTTGCCATTTGGATGGCTTTTGCCATTTCTATAAAAATAAAAATAATTATTATAATAATAAAAATAATAATAATCATAATAATTATATAGATAATTATACCATCGACAATAATTATTATCCCCGCCGAAAATTTTCGGCGGAGGATATAGAAATAGTCTCCGTCCGTCCGTCCGTCCGTCCGACCTTCCGTCCGTCCGTCCTTCCGTCCAACATTTTTGTCCGGAGCATATCTCTAAAAGTATTTGAGTTATCAACTTGAAACTTCATAGGTGGATAGACCTCATTGAGGAGGAGTGCAGTGAACAAGAATGATAACTCTACCTTGCATGATTTTTGAGTTATTGCCCTTTGTTATTTTTCAAAATTGATTTTTGTCCAGAGCATAACTCAAAAAGCCTTTGAGATATCAAAATGAAACTTCATAGGTGCATAGATCTCACTCAGGAGGTGTGCACTGCACAAGAATGATAACTCTACCTTTCATAATTTTTGATTTATTGCCCTTTGTTATTTTTCACACCTAATTTTTCACCTGAGTGGAGCATAACTCAAAAAGTGTTTGAGATATCAACATGAAATGTCATAGGTGGATAGATCTTATTGAGGAGGAATGTTGTGCGCAAGAATGATAACTCTTCCCTATACAATTTTTGAGTTATTGCCCTTTGTTTTTTTTCATGCTATTTTGTCCAGAGCTAATCTCAAAAAGTATTGAGGTATCAACTTGAAACTTCAAAGGTGGATGGATCTCATTGAGGAGGAGTGCAGTGCTTAAGAATGATAACTCTACCCTGCATTATTTTTGAGTTATTGCCCTTTGTTATTTTTCACAATTAATTTTTGTCCAGAGCATAACTCAAAAAGCCTTTGAGATATCAAAATGAAACTTCATAGGTGCATAGATCTCACTCAGGAGATGTGCACTGCACAAGAATGATAACTCTACCTTTTATAATTTTTGAGTTATTGCCCTTTGTTATTTTCAAACTTAATTTTTCAATTCAATTTTTATCTCACAAAGTATTTTGAGGTATCAACTTGAAACTTCATAGGTGGATAGATTTTACTGAGGAGGGATGCAGCACACAAGAATGATAACCTACCCTGCATTATTTTTCAGTTATTGCCCTTTGTTATTTTCAGCCATCAGTATTCACATAGGTTTCAAATCTGTAATTACTATAGCCATCAGTTTTCATTACCAAAAGACCTCTTAAAATGGAATTATTCTGCTCTACTTACATATACATTCTTCCAATGAGCAAACACATTCGGCGGGGATGGCCATGTTGACATGGCTCTTGTTATTATACTAGCAGATTTGGAAACATATATAAATATTATAATACTAATAACAAATAATAATAATAATATTAATTAATAATAAAGTAATTTCTTAGAAAACCTTCTGGCAAATAGGTGATCAATAAATAAATAACCCTCTGGCAGCAAAAGGGTTAATACTGAGAGACTACCCAATGGAACCTGGGAAGAGCCACCTACATTCCACAAGCTAACTGAATTATAACTTCCCCACATCTAAATAGAGCTTGGACTCAGACTAGAACAACATTACTTGCTGGGGAAACCAGCCTCAATGAAGGAAAATATTTTATTCAGGTACCTACATGGTCAAAAAAAAACACAAGAAACTTTGATGTTTAATATCGTCCCCTCAATATTTACCTCATAAAATGGAAACAACTAAACATAAAGGGTTTTGCTAGGGAAAAACTAATTTTACTTTTGAAATTTTAATAATAGTTTTAAAGTTTTTACCTGGAGAAGGTGGTTCAGCCGATGACTGATGTTCAGCTAGAGACAGCGGTTCACTTGGAGAAGGTCGCTCAGCCGATTACTGAGGTTCAGCTAGAGACAGAGGTTCACTTGAAGAAGGTCGCACAGCCAATGACTGATGTTCAGCTAGAGACAGCGGTTCACTTGGAGAAGGTCGCTCAGCTGATGACTGAGGTTCAGCTAGAGACAGTGGTTCACTTGGAGATGGTCGCTCAGCCCATGACTGAGGTTCAGCTAGAGACAGCGGTTCACTTGGAGAAGGTTGCTCAGCTGATGTTTGATGCTCAGCTAGAGACAGCGGTTCACTTGGAGAAGGTCGCTCCCCTGATGACTGATGTTCAGCTAGAGACAGGGGTTCCACTTGGAGAAGGTCGCTCAGCTGATGACTGATGTTCAGCTAGAAACAGCGGTTCACTTGGAGAAGGTCGCTCCCCTGATGACTGATGTTCAGCTAGAGACAGCTGTTCACTTGGAGAAGGTCCCTCAGCTGATGACTGATGTTCAGCTAGAGACAGCCGTTCACTTGAAGAAGGTAGCTCAGCTGATGACTGATGCTCAGCTAGAGACATGGGTTCACTTGGAGAAGGTCGCTCAGTTGATGACTGATGTTCAGCTAGAGACAGCGGTTTATTTGGAGAAGGTCGCTCAGCCGATGACTGATGTTCAGCTAGAGACAGTGGTTCATTTGGGGGTCGCTCGGCCAATGACTGATGTTCAGCTAGAGACAGTGGTTCATTTGGAGAAGGTCGCTCAGCCGATGACTGATGTTCAGCTAGAGACAGCTGTTCACTTGGAGAAGGTCGCTCAGCTGATGACTGATGTTCAGTTAGAGACAGCTGTTCACTTGGAGAAGGTTGCTCAGCTGATGACTGATGTTCAGCTAGAGACAGTGGTTCACTTGGAGAAGGTCGCTTGGCCGATGACTGAGGGTCAGCTAGAGACAGCGGTTCACTTGGAGAAGGTTGCTCAGCTGATAACTGATGTTCAGCTAGAGACAGCGGTTCATTTAGAGAAGGTCGCTCGGCCGATGACTGATGTTCAGCTAGAGACAGCAGTTCATTTAGAGAAGGTTGCTCGGCCGATGACTGATGTTCAGCTAGAGACAGCGGTTCACTTGGAGAACGTTGCTCAGCCGATGAATAATGTTCAACTGGAGACAACGGTTCACTTATAGAAGGTCCCTCAGCTAATGACAGATGTTCAGCTAGAGACAGCGGTTCACTTGGAGAAGGTCCCTCAGCTGATGACTGATGTTCAGCTAGAGACAGCCGTTCACTTGAAGAAGGTAGCTTAGCTGATGACTGATGCTCAGCTAGAGACAGCGGATCACTTGGAGAAGGTCTCTCAGTTGATGACTGACTGATGTTCAGCTAGAGACAGCGGTTTATTTGGAGAAGGTCGCTCAGCCGATGGGACTGATGTTCAGCTAGAGACAGTGGTTTATTTGGAGAAGGTCGCTCCCCTGATGACTGATGTTCAGCTAGAGACAGCTGTTCACTTGGAGAAGGTCCCTCAGCTGATGACTGATGTTCAGCTAGAGACAGCAGTTCACTTGAAGAAGGTAGCTCAGCTGATGACTGATGCTCAGCTAGAGACAGGGGTTCACTTGGAGAAGGTCGCTCAGTTGATGACTGATGTTCAGCTAGAGAACAGCGGTTTATTGGAGAAGGTCGCTCAGCCGATGACTGATGTTCAGCTAGAGACAGTGGTTCATTTGGGGGTCGCTCGGCCAATGACTGATGTTCAGCTAGAGACAGTGGTTCATTTGGAGAAGGTCGCTCAGCCGATGACTGATGTTCAGCTAGAGACAGCTGTTCACTTGGAGAAGGTCGCTCAGCTGATGACTGATGTTCAGTTAGAGAGACAGCTGTTCACTTGGAGAAGGTCCGCTCCCCTGATGACTGAGGGTCAGCTAGAGACAGCTGTTCACTTGGAGAAGGTCGCTCAGCTGATGACTGATGTTCAGCTAGAGACAGCGGTTCACTTGGAGAAGGTCGCTCAGCCGATGACTGATGTTCAGCTAGAGACAGCGGTTCACTTGGAGAAGGTCGCTCAGCCGATGACTGATGTTCAGCTAGAGACAGCAGTTCACTTGGAGAAGGTCGCTCAGCCGATGACTGATGTTCAGCTAGAGACAGCGGTTCACTTGGAGAAGGTTGCTCAGCCGATGACTGATGTTCAGCTAGAGACAGTGGTTCACTTTGAGAAGGTCGCTCCCCTGATGACTGATGTTCAGCTAGAGACAGCTGTTCACTTGGAGAAGGTCCCCTCAGCTGATGACTGATGTTCAGCTAGAGACAGCCGTTCACTTGAAGAAGGTAGCTTAGCTGATGACTGATGCTCAGCTAGAGACAGCGGTTCACTTGGAGAAGGTCGCTCAGTTGATGACTGATGTTCAGCTAGAGACAAGCGGTTTATTTGGAGAAGGTCGCTCAGCCGATGACTGATGTTCAGCTAGAGACAGTGGTTTATTTGGGGGTCGCTCGCCAATGACTGATGTTCAGCTAGAGACAGTGGTTCATTTGGAGAATGTCCCTCAGCCGATGACTGATGTTCAGCTAGAGACAGCTGTTCACTTGGAGAAGGTCGCTCAGCTGATGACTGATGTTCAGTTAGAGACAGCTGTTCACTTGGAGAAGGTCGCTCAGCTGATGACTGATGTTCAGTTAGAGACAGCTGTTCACTTGGAGAAGGTCGCTCAGCTGATGACTGATGTTCAGTTAGAGACAGCAGTTCACTTGGAGAAGGTCGCTCAGCTGATGACTGATGTTCAGTTAGAGACAGCAGTTCACTTGGAGAAGGTCGCTCAGGTCGCTCAGCTGATGACTGATGTTCAGCTAGAGACAGCGGTTCATTTGGAGAAGGTCGCTCAGCCTATGACTGATGTTCAGCTAGAGACAGCAGTTCACTTGGAGAAGGTCGCTCAGCTGATGACTGATGTTCAGCTAGAGACAGCGGTTCACTTGGAGAAGGTCGCTCAGCTGATAACTGATGTTCAGTTAGAGACAGCAGTTCACTTGGAGAAGGTTGCTCAGGTCGCTCAGCTGATGACTGATGTTCAGCTAGAGACAGCGGTTCATTTGGAGAAGGTCGCTCAGCTGATGACTGATGTTCAGTTAGAGACAGCTGTTCACTTGGAGAAGGTCGCTCAGCTGATGACTGATGTTCAGCTAGAGACAGCAGATCACTTGGAGAAGGTTGCTCAGGTCGCTCAGCTGATGACTGATGTTTAGCTAGAGACAGCAGTTCACTTGGAGAAGGTCGCTCAGGTCGCTCAGCTGATGACTGATGTTCAGCTAGAGACAGCGGTTCACTTGGAGAAGGTCGCTCAGCTGATGACTGATGTTCAGCTAGAGACAGCAGTTCACTTGGAGAAGGTCGCTCAGCCGATGACTGAGGTTCAGCTAGAGACAGCGGTTCACTTGGAGAAGGTCGCTCAGCCGATGACTGAGGTTCAGCTAGAGACAGCGGTTCACTTGGAGAAGGTTGCTCAGCTGATGACTGATGTTCAGCTAAAGACGGTGGTTCAATTGGAGAAGGTCGCTTAGCCGATGACTTATTTTCAGCTGAACCTGAAAATACATTGATATTCTAAATTCACACCTTATCTCTGTTACGAGGGCTGTTTAATATTTAATGAGACTGTAATCCTGTTGTGTTTATTCTTACATGAAATATAACACAATGTTGTATCATTATTAAATATAACTTATTCTTGATCAGATTACCGGCATTAATAGAAGGAATATAACACTACATAGAAATTGTGACCATTCCAATAACAATGGTAACGCGTTATCACCCCTGTCTGTTCTGCCTTAACAAGATGTAACTTACAATATAATTTAAAGTATGAATCATTTTTTGCAATAATGTAGATCTCCACCAATAATTTGTATGTTATATCAGTAAAGTCACATGAAACAAGAAATGTCAGAGGACAGTAACGCTTGACTATTCGAAAAGTCGTCACAAGGGTGTTTCATTGAGTATAATAATGCTTACCTATATGAATACATAAAATTGTCCGAAAAGGTGCAAACCCTTCAGTAGTTATGGAGATACCAGCTAACAAGCAAAAATCTAAGTCAAAAAAGGGGCATAATTATGCAAAAAGCAAATCAGAGTTATGGAACTTGTGCCAATCATCTTAGATAATCACAGACAACAAGAGTGTGAAGTTTCAATCCATTCCCTTCAGTAGTTTTGGAGATACCAGCTTACATGCAAAAACTTAACCAGGAATTTTTAAGTTAAAAAAGGGGCATAATTATGCAAAAAAACTCTGACGTCATTTGGTCGCAAAATCTTGATGTTTTAAACATTTGTTCATGGTTAAGATTATGACGCAAGACGATCTTGAAGTGAGGGCAAACATTTAGTTTTTCTTGCATTTAGGCAAATCGGCAACGGAAACATTTACAATAATGCAAGAGGCTAAGGGGAAAGACAGCTTTTGTCATAATTTAGTGTTTAGGTGGCACAAAAAATTTTCTGAGGGACACACATCCCTGAATGACTAACATAGGTTCAACAGAAAATAGTCTTTGAAATTGGCAAGCATCGCATCAATTCAGTCTACCATTCCCTTCAGTAGTAATGGAGATACCAGCTTGCACGCAAAAACTTAACCAAGAATTTCTAAGTTGCAAAAGGGGCATAATTATGCGAAAAAGCAAATCAGAGTTATGGGACTTATGCCAATCATGAAAGATAATCACAGAGAACAAGTGTGTGAAGTT